ATAATTAGGAGTGAGTCGCGTCGCGATCCGATCCCTCGAACCCTCCGTTCCGTTCCGTTCCACCACTGTTCCGCGTTGCACGGTGTGGGGCACATCGACATGCCCCCGCATTGGTACCATTTCAGCTTAATATTTCAAAGATGCGTAATCCTGTTGCGCGTGTAGCATTTTGTTTTGTTTTTTTTTAAGGGACTACTACGAGTCCACCTTCTTCGTCGTGGAATTTACTGTTGTATCGCCGCGGCTGATGTCGCTTTTCCAATGGAAAGTAACTCGAAACGTAAATCCATATTCTCATCGCGCGCGAACGCGAAGCAGGTTGACCGCGTAACTAATTATGTACCTACGTTTGTCTCAGGTCGCAAAAGGACTTGACTCGTTGTATATAAATGCGCAACTGATCGTATATATGTATCCCATGTGACAGCGATTCTTCGACGATCGGGATTGGAAAGGGTCAGAATGAATAATCTGGCGAAAAGGGTGGGACGCGAAGGAGTAGCGGGAGGGTATAGTGGGTTGTGTATCGGTGAACGGCCACAGGGCCACTTCCGTGTGTCCCGGAAACTCGTGCAGAGACTCACCTCGCAGTTGCAGAACGACAGCGGGATGCGAAGGAGGAGGAGGAGGAGGAGGAGGAGGAGGATGGAAACAGAAAGCCCACAGGGGCTAAATTTGCATCCGGCAAAGCAACCTCGGACTACTTTATTTGATTGGCTGCCCGCAGGGCTGCCTTCTGTCCCTACATGGACGAACCTACACGGATCGCTCTCTGTGTTTCTCTTTTCCCTCTCCCCGTTCACGTCTTATTTTTTTTTTCGCTTCTTTCGTTCGCTCTTGTCATTTTGTTTCTTCGAAACTGCCCCTCCGCCCTTTCCCTCTTTCTCCCATATTCGGCCGCCTTGCTCACCGCTAGATCTAGTAATAGGTTTCCTAACGGAATCGTATCGGCGATAACCGCAAGAAACGCACAGATCATGTAAGAGCAGCTTCGTTCTTAGAGCATTCTCCTTGCGTTATGATTCAGGAGCTGTGAAGTTAATAGGATGGTATTATACAAATCTATTCTCGACAAAACTTTATACGGCGCGATTCTTCTGCCCGGGGTGTATTTGAATGTTAAATTGCTCAAATATTTGATAATGAGCGAGATGTGTAATGCTGCGGCAATGAAGACGTCTGTTTCGTTACTTTGTTGCTTGATCGGATGTAAAACGCAGAGGCGGTGGTAAGCCAAGATGGTGGTAACGATAATGGCAGAGGCATCGATCGGCTTTCGTCCTGTCCACCGACGATGCTCAACGTCGAAATAATCATCCGCTTTAATAAAAACGGCTTATCCGCGAAACAATGGACTGTCGCTCGCAGGACCGTCAAGCACGTGGTGTCGCGGCATCGCGGCTTGTCTTTCGCGGGAATACCTCGCCCGCCCGCCCGCCCGCTCGCTCGTTCATTCGGCCCTTCCTAAGACTTAAGCCGTTTCAGCTTTACTTCGCTACGCGCTAAAACAAGGTATCTTAATACGAAGCCACTTCAAGTTCCACGGCGGTACCTGAAATTAAATCTCCTTCCTGACGCAATTAAAACTTGATTCTTGCAAACGCGTTACCACGGGTCCGAGCCGCGACGAAAAAACTCGCACTGGTACAAAAAAAAACACAGGAGATGCCAGCAATCCGTTGACTTTATGAGATATTGCAAGTTTCATTAAATCAGATCAAATTCGTTTTTTCTTTGTTGAAGCGATAGACATTTTTTTTTTAAATTCAAAGCTAGATTTCCAAAAACAATTGTTATTGTAATTGCTAGAATTTTGCATTTTACACTTTATATTTCGTTTTTCCGTACATATAATATTTTCTATTTGTACATCTACGTTTGAATGTGCATTTCTCTTAAGCTTAAAATAATGTGAGAAAAAGTAGATATTACTTAAGATTCACATCAAATCATAAAAGATGAAATAAATAAACGATGAAATAAATAAATAACGTGTGGTGGTAAATAATATTTCTCAAATGTTAGTACGATTTTAGAATTGGGTTTTTGATTAAAAAGAAAAAAGAACGTTTAAATTATAATAACTGCAGACGTTACATTCTTTACAAGAATGTATTGCTAAATCTTATGGTTGATTGACCTTTTCTTGGGGCATCATATTTGGGGCGTTGTTTCCTTTCCATGCTTCGGCGCGGCGCGACGCGCCGCTCGATAACACCGAGTCCGCTTTCTTTGATATATCCCGTAAGTTCACACATAAGGTATACACGATTATATCGTTTTCGAATGTAATGAATGCGCGTGCGAATGGCGAAGAAATAACAAGATACACGATAGCTGTGCCTTTCCGACCACACAGGCATAAAATTGTCATCGTACTTTAAACAGCTTTCAAATAGCCTGAGCTAGGATGAGTGATAGTATTCAACTACATTCAATTCTCTTTACGACTTTGTATCCTCATTTCATTTCGAAGCACAATGTAAAAAAATATAATTTCCTTGTTCCGTGTCTCTTTTTTTTTTTCACTGGCTCCCGAAGGTCGGCTGCACAGTTTCGAGGGGCATTAGGTACGTGTTTTCCGGACTTTAAGCCGGAGCATCGCCGGAGGAGAACTCATTAATTAGCTAATGGCTTCCTCTGAGTCTTCTTAGGTGTATGTACGCTGCGTACGATGCGTGCAACGGCTATCAGTATTCTTCGATATGTCATTAAATCGTCGCAGCTGCGAATCCGCTCAGTAGTCGCCCAGTAACGCAACGAACGAGCGAATTCGCAACCATGGCAATTTAACGACGTAGTGACATTTCACCATTAAACTTTTACAAATGTCTTCTTTACATACGGAAAAATAGAGAACGATTGCATAATGCAATTTCGAGTGTTTCACGCTGCCTGGGTTCAAGGAGTCCACGCTTGATTTCCAGAGGTTACTAACGGTTGTGTCTTTTTATTCTGTTTTTTCTTCTTTTTTTTGGTCGAATTAATCCATTCTCAATCTAATCAAATCGCCCGATCACCTTTAATTTCACATACGATCCGTATTCAGCGAGCGCCGTATCGATACTTTTTATGTATTGTAGCATGCTTTGAACGTGTCCGAACTAACGTAATACCCAATTATCCCGAATATTCGTGATACCAAATTGATAAATATAATACACAAGCCGTGGAGACGTATCGTATGCTTTATACCTTTGCCTCCAACAAAACGTAATATTTTTGTTATTCTCGAGTGTACATGTACGCCGGGGAATCAATTTGTTAGATTCCGGCATTCTATTGCGATGTTCCTGTAACAGAGGATGCGCGTCTGTAATCTATGCGGCATTGTAAGAAAACGAGTGCAAGTCGCGTGTAAGACGGTCCAAGATAATGTGGCGGAATAAAAACAGCACACCGCTTTTCAGAGTTATGCCGTCTGAATTGTTTTGTAATTTGACACCAACGTTATTCTCTATATTCAGTCATACTGCTATCGATTTGCAACGACGTGAGTGTAGGAAGAAAACGCGATCTGGTTTCATCATGCTCTAATGTTGCAGCTACAATAGATTTGCAATTTAGCCTCAATATCTTTAAGGTGTGTAACAGCTTCAACGATAAATTGTAACTTGCACTTGTTACTTTTAACTTTTGTTACCTGACAGTATGATCGATGAGCGGAAATTATAATTATTTTGCGTAAGCCAATAATATCCTGGCAGTTGTTACAACGATGCAAGAAAGAGACAAATAGAAAGATCCGTACGCTGTTGATAGACGTGTCATTAAAAATGCATGCGTACAATAGTTGTATACATGATTTCTACAACTAACAAAGTAACACGATCTCGCGTAAGCTCGAAATAGCTGCATAATACTGTAAATTTGTGATTACAACATCAAATGACGTTTAAAGCGCCAAATACCTGCGGTAAAACGATCACTATTCGTAATTAATTTGATGGCATCAAATCAATTGATTCTCCACCGTACGAGATAGAGATTTATCTTACAAGTGTGTTAAACTCGATGCTCGTCACGTATATATCACGTGTTCAAAGTCTTTCTCCGGAAATTTTCGATAACAGCAAGTTGCGCACGAAACATCTCCGTCCGTGCTGTGTCGTGTATTAAGTTTCGACTCTCGTAAACAATTGCGCCATCCAAATGTTCACACACGTGCCGCGGATACGTTTGATTTATTATCTTCTCACGATGCATATTCTTTTACGACTCGTACGTTAGTCCATTAATAATGCGAATGAGACATTGAATATACGCGCGAGATTGAGTTTTATATACTCAAATTATAATTATACTTTTTAGAATATGAATTTCACGCCGAATCCTCGCAATGTTTTAATGGAGATAACATACCCGCGGTACTCCTCTGGCAAGCATAACTCCTATTCGCCGGGCTTCCTCTCAGCCTCAGCGAAATTATATGGGGTTCGATGTTACGCTATGTCCCAATTATAAAGTACTCATTGTGCACTGAAACAGCGTCAGTTCCCGGAACACGATGGAATTTTTAATACAGGCATGATATTCCTCATTAGTTGTAATTTATTGTTAATTAGATTATGGACTAAATTGAATCAGCGTACAAGTTTTTACCATACTTCACTACACATTGGCGGGAGGCATTTATTCGCTTCATACACACATGCTGAATTTTTTCACGAATAAAAATGAAATATAGAGTAAAATGTTTAAACGCCAACGAGATTATACATCATTCTTCTAATTACATTTTTTCCCCTCATTTTATTACCCAGTCAATTATTTTCTTCAAATTTAATTTGCGAACACTGAATATCCCTAGTTGCAATTTGACGTATCAACGAAATAGTTTACGACGCAATTCGGCACGTGACCGACATGAGGCAATAACGCGATCTCATTGTTTCAGCCAGGGACACAGATTCTTGTTATAATTTTCTCGTGACAAGCTATTCCGCGTTTGGATGAATTTTCTTCTATAAAAATTCGTCGTTTTTGTTTCTTTTACGCAGGTGACACGTGAGCGTCGAATTGAAAATCCTCTTCTTAATCCAATGAGAAAATTGCGGAAACTCAAATAGGTAAGCTCGATTCTGTATCTCTCGAGGCCAATGTAGAAGAATAAATATAATTGCCTGGCGTTTCAAAGAAGACGCTAGAATAATACGCGCGTAAGCGAAAAGTCGTGGATCGAGAGTGGGAAAAAAAACGAAGAGTGCGACAGTAGGTGTTTTTTTTTACATATTCGAGTAAATTGTTGAAAGTATTCGTTCGTACTGATTACAAGACTGTCGGATGTCCATTCGTAACGATCGCATCAATTTAAAAATGCGAGAGACGAGTGGTCTCATTGTTTATATTTATTATCGGTATTGTCCAATGATCGTAATTGTGCATATTTTTGTTCAAAGTATTATATAGTACTAGATATATATATATGTATTATATGTATGGTAGAAAGTGTGACGACCACATATACCTCGGAGTATTGAATATTAATGAATTTTGAAAAATTTAGAAGGACAGGGGACGAGATCCTGAATTTAAAGCACTCGCTCCGCTTTGCTTCAACTTGACAGGTTTTCTCCCTGCTCCATTACCCCTTCATATTCTTCCCTTTTTCTCGCGAGATTATTCGCTTATCGGTTCATTGTGGATTCCTCCTATCCTTTATGAGCAGCGGTCGCTTCCCGTGCATGCTAAATATCTTTTCTCGCTACTTCCACCATTCGTTTCAGCTTCGCCTAGTGCAGACGCGTCAACCTCGTACAGTTGCTGCGACGGAATAAGACGTATATAGGGTAAGTAGGGTAACCATTTATATACACGAAAAGAAGAAAACAGAAAATATTGGCAGAGCAGTATATGATATTGCCCTTTATTAAAATACACACTGTATGCGTGTACACACATCTATGGCTCAATTGTCTCCGTCGGATCTCGGATTTCCGTTAGACTGGACAAATTTTTACGTCGCAATATCATATTCAAGTATCTTCAGGAATGAATACTTTTTTGTTGGCATCGCAAGTATCGAAAAGTGTCAGGTAAATGAAAATAAATAAAGTTAAAATGTATTTAAGGCTAAAATTCTAAATCTGAAGGTACACTAAAGAAATTGCTGACCTAAAAAGTGCAGTTATTGTTTTTTTTTGCGTATTTTGTAATGCACAATTATTTGTTTCGTAAAAATGCTCAACGTCGTATGCGGATCCAATGAAAGTGATCTTTACATCCAGATATTAATATAGTTTGCACGTACTTTATACACGCGTAATTTTAACGCGCACCGTCGTTACATTATTAATGCACACTTTCAAGTGATGACACCTATTTAACACTCAATGCTCGTATCTTGAGCTCCTGTTAACTTTCCTGTATGAGTCTGTACACACAAATTGAATCGTGCTATGTATGCAATCAGTTACTTGTTATTAATATGTTTCGAAACCGTTTATAGTGTACTAAAATGATTCTCTCTCTCCACTTACAATGCATTATGAGATAAATCTACATTATAATTAAATGATAAGCAAATTTATATCAATCTGAATTTTCCTGTGTTATTCAAAATGCAGGACGTATAATTTTTAAAAATAAATCTTCCGTTATGAGAGACTATAAATTCCCATCGATGACGTCAGGCTATTAGGTTCGACGTAGTACGCGACAAGAAAAAGATAATATAATTTCTACGTGCTTCACCCTCTCTCAGCGTTCGATTATCGATTCACGTCACTTTAGTTCGTTCTCGTTGTTCGGTGCTGCCGTTGCCGCTGGCGTTATGTTAAAAATTATATGACAAATTTTTGTATTTTTGAGGATGCAGTAGGACATCGCGGTCTTTGAGAATCGAGGTCTATTTGTAAATCTTGTAAAATCCACTTGTCACTTCCTCGCGATGAAAATGTTCAAGCGACTTTCGTGACGCACGAATGCACTATACACATTACAGTTTCACTTTGCTTGCCAAATTTCTGATTTAATTGTATTTTTTATTATAATTATTATAATAATTTTTATTATAATAATGGGCAAACCAAACTAAGCCTTTGATCTTTTTCCTATCGCATAAACTGACATATAATTAAAAAATTTTTCCAATCTGTATTTTTTATACATATATTTAAATGTTAACTCAATTTGTGAAGCATGTTATTATCCGTTATAAAATCCGTTTAAATTGTTAAATATTTTTACCAATTTTGTAAAATACAAATCCATTGTATTTGCATCTGTGCAATTAAGAGAATAAAATTGCTAATCAACGATGTAACTATATGCGCGCTGAAATACATTTGGAGTCACATAGATTTATTCCGTAATCGTAAAAAGATATTGCATTTCATGATTCGGATGAATTAAATTTCAGCGTATGAGTTTGTTAAAGCGATTAAAGTGATTTCAACAATAAATATAAATATAATACTCTTTTGAAGCACGTGCCGTTCCGATCATTAGTCGATTCTAATTATTAGTTTACGAATAAATAATTTATCCGGCTAGAACTTGATAGAGTCTTTCGGAAAGCTCGTGCATTAAAAACGCACATATACATATACGTAAATTGGATCGAGTGACTTAAAGTTAAGTTTCGATTCGATCGTAATAATTTTTATTTTAGATAGGAACGCAGGCGACGCGTTTTCCAAAGAGAAAAATGACGCGAACGTCACGTCGTTATAAAAATGCAGCTAATTACACAACTACGGACGAATTAGTTGCCAGTCAGAAGCGAATCGGTACGAATATCGCGAGTGCTGCCGGTAATGGGAAAACATTCTGAAAACTTTCTGTTTTCCCAGTGCGTATTAATTTTCATATCCGCGTCTCGTTGCCATAGCTACGGTCATAGCCAGCAGGAGTAATAAGTTTTGGAATAATTTTACGCACAGTCGATCGTATGAATTCGCTCTCTATTCTCTACTCGTTCCCTCTCGTTTTTCTTCAACTCCACCACTCTATCGCAGTTTCACCCACGCGTGTTACACTCCGTTTAACCTTTGTATTCTGTTACTTTCTCTCTCTCTCCCCCCCCCCCCTCTCCCTCTCTCCTCTCGCCCTCTCTTGTAGTACGCACGCGGACTCGTAATGCTATCGACAATTACGTTCAAGGCAGATAATATTGTACGTTCACTAAATGAAACTCTTTGCTTTATTTCATGTAGATAATTGAATATAATCGAGAAAGAATTTCCTGCTTGGATACCTTTTAGGTCTTTCGAAATTTTTTATCATTCCAATGTATAATATCGCCGAGTTATTTTTTAAACAAGAGCAAATTTTAATAATTTACTTACTCACGTCGGGATGAAAGAGACGTCTTCTACGTCGATGGGATCTCACGGCTCGTGTTAGCTCGACCATAATCATCTCCACGCATTCGCTCATTGCGCGGAATTATGTATTTCTGACTTTTGATCCCGCTACGCGCGCGTTTACGCTAAATTATGTATGGTACGGTGGAGAGAATGTGTATCTTACCAAATACCGTTTATCGTCGTTCATCACTTTCCTCCCAAGCCTCTAACATCCATTTAACGTCAGTGAATGTTTGCCATTATTATTTGCATACACTCTGCGCGCGAGTCAAGTCGTTTCGGTTCAAAGGCGATTTCAGAAAACGCACGCTGTATTTTGGGTCTGATAAATTTGTCTTATCGACTCTTTTTCATTTAAGCAATTACGCAATGGAAACAGTTTGATTACTTTCGCGCACAAGAGATAAAGCTCGTATTAACGCACTACTCAGCTCAGTTAATACGCAAGAATAATTATGTAACTGTTACGAAATTTACTATCATTTGGATGAAGGAGTGAGAACGAGTGTCAATAGGCAATGGCCCCATTTTTTTTGCATTCGATTTTGGTCACAAAGTGGGCACCAAGCGAAAGGTCTCGTCAAGCTGATTGCAGACATGACAGTCTCAGAGTGTATCTATTTAACGTTCCAGAGATATCGGGCGCCAAAGGTTCCATTCAATTCCAAACAAATGGTTGGTGTCTGTCCAGACGGCGTCATCGCTCACGTCCTGGGAATCTTTCGTACACTCTGAGACTGACGTATCTGCGATC